GCTTCCATGTGAATTTTAATGTTCCACATTTGAATTTAACAGCATATGTGAATGTTTCTGTTTTAGGATTTTCCCCAATTGCCAAGCTGGCTAGAGCAAGCCTTGAGGCAAAATGAAGATTCAAGCTATGAAATGGCATTCTAAGATTAGTTATTATTGACATACAAATAGATGGTAGCTTTACTGTAATAGAAAGAGTGAAGGAATAGGCAAAGTATCACCCATATAAATCATTCCSTTTAAGTAAGGGACCTTATGACCCTACCCAGACATAAAAATACTTCTGGTTTTGAGCATTTACTTTGAGTATCACTATTCCGTGTCTTCTAACTAGCCTTAAAAATACGTTAGAGTTACAGGATTGGTAATTCRTTCATTTCCTAACAATATGAGAAATTTTTGAGGGGTTGGTCTCATCAAGTTTTTCATACTCCCTAAAGCCTCTCAGATTTTTTATCAAAGTACTGTGGATACCTTTTAACAGAATAGTTATTTCCAATTACATGCATTTCATCTAACAGTGAAAATCTGTGGGTTAATAGCAAAGACCCAGAACTGATTTTTTTATGTTTTTGTAATATCAAGAAAATTTCTTCCCCAAGTTAAACATTATTCACATGTGAGTTAGCACATATGTGATGACTCATTATCAAACCAATGCATATCTCARAATCAAATACTGCTTTTTAGAAAGGTCAAGAGTTATGCAAAATCATGCAATAATTGTTGTTAAATGGTCATATAGTACCTTTGTTGATTTTTACACCTGGAAGAGTTTGCTTTCTGACCTTCTACTTTAAAAAGAAATAAAAATTGTGAAGTGACATTTTTTTGTTAAAATGTCATCCACATAGATAAATACTTCTGCATGGACAGAAAAGTGATGCTTTCATTTAGATCACAGTTTTCGTTGGTGTCAAAAGTGTGCCCCTACAATCACAACTCAGTTGCACCGAGAAGCAAGTGTTTTATAAAACTGTGAATTTGCTTTTTAAAGAAATACAATAAATGTTTGACAAGAAATTTTTCTCCACTCAGAGATGTAATAGCATAGTTTCATAATAAAAATGTTTCACTACTGTGCCTCTGCTTCCATTGAAGAAATACAGCAATGAAAGCAAACTGCATTCTGCATTTTGTGAAATATTCCCAGGACCTTTGCCAAAATGACGACTTTTCTTCTCATCTCCTGAAGGCACACTTCAAAAGCTGAGGGCAAAAAGAGAAAGAAACCCAACCATGATCCAGTGTATTATTTTAATCTTTAAAGGAAGTTAAAAGCCCACCTTGACTTCCAAAATGCAGGTTGCACTTATAAGGTAAAATATTCAAATTTTTTTTACAGTGAGCACAGCTTAGGAAATAGTAATAAATCAACATATGCACAATTTCAAATTGTCAGCTAGAGACACCCCACACAACTAATTGTGACTCCAAAAGGCACACTTTTGACAAAGAATATTTGTTTCTTTTGCAATTGCAAAAATTTACATCATCTTACTGAAAATAATGGTAAAACAAAAAAAAAWTTAAGATTGTCAACTTTCACAGAAAATATTTTGCACAGCTCCAATAGTCAATRACATTTTCTGATATTCAGATAAACACATTCCATGTATTAGTTTCTGTCTCACACACCACACAAATAGAAAATCATATAATCTGATATACTGGTAAGAAACACTTATTTAAAAAGAAAAAGGTTTCCTGAGTTGCTATAAGGATAAAACTTTGTGAAGAGAAATTTCTCRATTTTCTTCCTTCTGTATATAATTTAGAGTATGTATAGCAAGTATGGGAGAGAGATCTCCAACACCTAACTTACTTATTGTGGATTTTTTTGTTTTGTTTAAGAAATTAATATTAGTCCAGATTAATTTCTGGTGGAAATTTCAGCTGAGTTATACCACCAATAACTTTAGTCTTATCAGTCAAAAAACCTACAAAATGACCAAAAAAGAAGCCCACCAAATTTTTAAAAGCTGGTTGATACAGTTTTATGGTTTCTGAGGTCCCCATGGATGGGTGATCTTAAAACTTGAGATAAACTTTAATACCACGTCCTTACATAAAACACAAACTAATTCAAGCAAACAAAAAATCTCGCTGGAGTTGTTAATTATAGCACCTAATGGGAATTATGTACAGTAATCAAYCAGTGTAGGGGTTCTTTCCCTCTTGCATTATGGACACTGCAAGTATGTTAATTTTCTTAATGACATCTTGTATAAATAATGGAGGATCTGAGTGGAACAGAAATTTGTCAGATGATAAAGCTAAGTTGTCTGTTTACAAAGCAGGATATAGTGGTGAAATCAGATTGACCAATGACAATTTAGCATAACAAATGAAYGGTAGAATAGTTTTACTGGACAGATCCTAGGAAAATGCAGATTGTGAATACTAACAAGATCTGTTCATGTTCAAATATTTTCATATTGGCTAGATAAACAAATTCTTGGTTCTTCAATGACTCCCCTTCAAAGAGCAGATATGTTCTAAAAAGTTTAAAAGTTTAAACATTTACAAGTACATTTTAAAAGTGGCAGTATGTTTTGGTTTTATGAATGGAAGAATCTGGGTGTTTTTGAACAACTTCCAATGTGAAATACTGGCCAGTCATCCTATAAATGGAATGGCAAACTCAATTTCATTTGGTACAAAGTATGGATCGATACTTTAATAATTGTTTAGAATGGCGTCAGCTCCAAATACAGAAGGCCTTGATCTATTACATTAGCCAAAAGACAAAGTGCATCCTTGGACTTCAGCAAATGGGAAATTTAAAATTCCAGATTATTTTTTGAAACTGTTTTAGGGGATTATTGCCAATTATTTGGCTTGGGCCAGTGCTGTTACTGTTTAAGTAGATTTGATACAACAGCCTCAATTCTGGCTTCAGATCCTTCTACCACTTTAATAAATCTGAAGCAAATCCATTACAGTGATTTCAARCTAGTTTAGCAGGGATCAGAATCTAAACTAGTTTCCTTTTGATTCCGCTCTCCTGAGTGTCACCATTGCACAGGCTATTTCCAAACTTTAACAGGGATTTGCATTCAGGGGTTTCTCACAGACCTCACAAGGCATAATACAAAAGATGCACTTTCTCTGGGCCCCTTCTAACCGACATTGGTAACTCTGTCATATKAAAGACAATTTCCTAAACAGAACAGTTTTATTCTTAAAGAATATAGACTGTAATTGTTGTTTGCTGCAAACATTTACTAGTGCCTTATTCATACAAGTTTTTGTTTAACTGGTCCTCACATTAGGTCTTGCTAAAGATCCTGTATTTAGTACTGAACAGYGAACTTCCTAAGTAAGAAGATACTGTGATGTTTACAATTTAGTACCTAAAACTAGAGTCACAAAAAGACAAAAACTGACTGCGAGATATTGGTCCAAACCACAAGCAAATCTAAACTGGAGCATTTTTATCCAATCCCCCCTCAAAAACTAAATTTCACAATTTACTCCTGGCTTCATTATCATCTAATCTACAACACAGTTGAATTATTCTGTCCTGCCAAGGTATAAAATCTTAATGCCCCCAACATCTGTCTGATACCAAACCATAATCCCAAAAATTCCTGTAAGCACAGGTAGAAGTCCAAATATCACATAGCAGCTACTTTCCAGATCTTGCATGTTAATTCTCAAGTTGTTTTGGGCCAGCTATTTTTTTCTGCCTGAAGCATGAGCTAATATCCACAGCTACTCTCACCTTCTCTTTGAAGACCAGAAAGGCATGGATTATKTGCCACAGCACAATGGATATAGCTGTAGCCTAACAGGAAGAGATTTAGGCTTTACCCAATACAGGGCCAGGTGTTCCTCCCAGTAAATCCAAGCTGTGCTGGTGTTTCAGAAGAGAGCTCAAGAAACAAGTAGAAAAGCCTCCAAATGCTACTTTTAAGACCTACCATTATTTGCTGCACWACCAGCTACCTAAATTCTACTACTTTGTTGAGATTTGCACACAAAAACTGAACAAATAATCTCTGTTACCTGCCAGTTAACCCTAAACTAAGAAAAAAATCCAGATGAAGACATAGGTTTTGGGTTTTTTTTGTTTTTTTTTTACTTTAGTGTGTATTTACTGGAAAGAGTGTGCACACTCTCATCAAGATGGCAAAGACATCAGCTGGCTATTCCCATTCTTCAGTCTGAAGTCCTAAACATCCCTGTCTCAGGTCATTATGCACTTGACTTCTGAGAATGGCCTTATGGAGTGCGATAAAAAAAACCTTAGACCTTATCTTAAAACCTTTCTGGTCTTCAAAATTAACTCTTCATTTTAGTACAAGAATATTCACTAAATGTTTAATATGTTTCCAGATGATAATTTCTGGTGCTATGTTTTTCTTCCACTCTTAGCCTTTCTCTACCTGCATCTATCATATATTCCTGGTTTTTTAGTCATTGTCGTTCCAGTGCAATCTATGTCAAGAAACATGAATGAATCCTTGGTGTGTTTAAAATTCACAGTGATACTTCCTGAGGGGAAGGTACCAGTGAACATTCTCCACTTTTAACACTGCAAGGTCTAGCAGCTTAGCTGATACTGTAGGATGATTACTTTTCTTAGCTGTAGTTTTTCACTTCAATTACTGCTGGATGTTATTTATGAATTTCTCAGTATTTAATCAGGTTGCTCTTGGATCATCACTTTGCACAAATGCCTTAGAAGCTTGCCAAACTAGCATGTAAAAGAGACCTCATTCAAAATAGTTTAGACAAGAAAAGAAGAACTTGTGTGCTTTACGCTCTGTGGGTGCTGAAGTCAATGGATAAACTCCAGTCTTATAATGAAGTGGAGCTTTCTATTGTACCTTCTGTTTAGATTAACCCTGCATGGGCTTCCACTAAAAGTCTGTGAGAATTGTGTGTTTGAATTACCTTGTGATCGGGAATTTACAGAGAATCTGAATGAAGAATATGACTGTTTTGAGTGGTTCAACACAGTAACGTAAACTGGGTTTTCAAGAAAACACATTTATATTCCATATCTATATGATACAACTGCATTAATATGCTAATGTCAGGTTTTCCCTACGGTTCAAAAACATGTAGGACAAAAATCAAGCTACTGCAGCCTATTTCTGAAAAATTTGTTAAAAACAGATTTTAAGAGTGTAATTCAATCCTGGCTTTAAATTATTCTCCTGTAGTATTGTAGCAGAAACAAACTCTGTTTTGCTCACAATGAATTCTACACTGCCGTTTTACAGGAAGACTCAATCCCTTTTTAACCCTGTAAAATGAACATGATCATTCCCCCTTTAAGAAYAGAAAGAAGGCTGATGGCCAATTCAGGCTACAGAACATAACAAAATATAACAAAATGGCTGGCAACTGCAGCAGCATTCCAGAGGATTGTTTTGTGGTATTTTATGTTGCGTGGCCACAAYATGAACAATATTAATTAAATGTATCACAGTGGTGTTGTGTGAAGACATGGTGGGCATTGACACTCCTACAGTAAAATCCATTTCTCTTGTAACAGCATAAAATTAAATAAGGGTAGAAAGGAAAGAGCAAAAAGAGCCAGAGGCAAACAAACTAACTTGAATCAGCTTGAGTTAATGGACTGGATATTGACCTAAAAGCTGTGGCCTGCATTCTTATTTTGTTCCTTTGCAAAATCCTGCATTTCTTATGCATCCTCCTTGCTCATCTTTATATGAATGAACTCCCATGATTGTTTTCAGAATGAGGAAGGAACCTTTAACTACTATGAAATTATGCTTAGCAGAAAGAARTCAGCATGAATGAAAGTCCATTGATTTCTATGTAGCAGGTACTGGGTTGTAAATCTTTATTTGAAATGGGTCTCTCCTGTGCACATTAAAAGTTTCCAGTGTAATATAAGCAAGAATTGACAATATAGTACACACCTGCAAAWTTTACATCATATGCAGCATTTTCTTGTGTTCTCTCAATGTACAAGCTAGTCATCAGACAGATACCCTTCTGAACTAATGATGAACTGGTGAGAACGAAGCACAAGGATCAGGCAATCCAGCTTGACACACTCAAATGAGGAAAATAAATTCTGGAAGAGCTAGCTGTATAAAGCTTATAAGTCACTTAGAAGCTTGAATTATTTTCAAATGTAACTTTTAGGGATTTAATGGGGAATTTAATGGGGAAGAATCTTCCTGTTAAAGATTAAAGGTTTGCACTGTTATATGTAGTGTCTAAGCAAGAGAGCATATAAAACATAAAATRAGAAGCTCTTCAAATGGAAGTGTGTAGGCCATTTTATTGACTGAACTGCTAACAAATATTTTCTAGTGGATTTGCTCAATGTTCAATTACTTCACAATATTTTCTTAAATTACTCTGCAAGTGTTCATTATTTATTTTCTTCAAATGAACCTGTACCTGTATTCAATTATTTACTTGAAACTTGTCAAAAAACAAGATGCTTCTGGAAGTGAAAGCTGTTTCTTTCTAAAGGTCAGAGACATCTAACTTGTCCTCTTACTGTCTCCTACTTCTTTACCAGCCCAGTCCAGGCTTACAATTGTAATTGCCTGAGTAGCAAAGAAAATGAAGTATTCTTAGTCACCTGCTGTTTCTGAAAAATGCTGGCTGTTCAACCCGTTTTTGCTCTTTGAGAGATCCCTCATCAAATGAAATGCTAAAAGTATAACAAAGGAGGTCAAGCACATAATTCTAGGTGCCCCACGTAATTCTATGGAAAGACACATATGCAAAATCTGGAAAAGAGATGGAGGGTGCAGGTAAGGAGAATACTTAGCAAGCTTTAAATGAGGTAGAGATTCTTCTGATGATACAAACAGCTCTTCTGGTGACCTTATTTTATTCTAGAGTAAACCATTCTTTACCACATAGCCGGATTTGCAATGACTGAAATGTGTCGCTAACTTGCATGAAAAAGTGAGAGGTCAAACACCTGTTGTCTATATGAATGGAACTAATTTCTTCACCGTGTAAGAGAGGTGGAAGAAGCAGGTAATATTGTTTCTTCTTCTGACAGAACAGGCTAGATTGCTAGTAGAAATAGAGCTGATAAGGTTTCTTAAAAAAACCAAAGATCTTTCGCTTCTGACTTCAATTAACTCTCAAAAGATGGTGCATTTCTGTGAGATCTTGGGGCTCACAACTTTAGTACCAATTTCTTTGTGGCAAACCATCAGACTTCTCAGGAGAGCTCCTTTTCCTCCTTCTAACTATGCTCAAGACACTTGTGACATCTGTTTTTAACAATCTCCAGATTCTTCGAAGATATTTCTAAAGTAGATTGTAAGAATTTTCCCTGTGGAAAGRAAAAATGAATGGCAGGTTCAGCAAGGAATCAAAATAATCTGGTGTAAATATTAAAATACATAAGAAATCAGGATGGAAACTACAAGGCATTCTCATTTTTGCCAACAATTAAAAAAATTAAGGAGATTTGGAAAAATAATTGAGAGGCTGATGCAGTACCTCAGAATAATGAGACTGAAATTTATAAACCAAAACTGTGTTATTTCTATGGACAGTTCCCACATCTGAACTGCTGCTGTCATATGCAGAGATGCAGTGAAGAATCAGTGAACTGCTTTCATATGTTGTACAAAGGTTTCAGCATTCAAAGTCTTATGTCCATCTCTCAATGTATACAGCTTAAATGGTAGGCAAAAAAAAAATGTGATTCTGTGTATATTTATACAGACCTTACTGCCAGATAATCACTGAAAACCAGTCACTTCTCACAGCCTTTGTGTCTTCAGATGTCACCAGAGATCTTACTGAACAAGCCTGGAGAAAGGCAGAAAAGCAGGATCTGTGGCAGCAAATAAGCCAACTAAAAAAACCTGTAAGCCCATTTTCYAAGTGTTAGTTGATACAATAAAAGCATTCAGATGCCCCCATGTCCAGCTCAGATTCCAAATGTCCTTGTATCAGATTCCAAATACAGACTTGAGGCTCTTTGCACACATRCATACAGAGACACATCCTCAAAGGAAAAATGAGTATCTATGCCAGAAGAGCTTGGAACATCTCTGGCACAATGAMTTGTTCCACTACTGTTTTACTCATTTAAGTACAGCTTTCTGGAAAGGGCCACATGTCCTTTACTAGAGAATGCAAATATCACACAAAGAGACTCAGAATAATGAGTCTCCTCCTGGCTGCAGCACASAGGGACATCAATGTCACCATTTCTGATAGCACACACTCCAAAGCCATCTATTCACCTTGTCATTCCCATACTGCATGTGTGCCAAAGCTCACTTTTTTAAAAAACAAAGGGCAGTGTTTCTCTCTGAATGAAACATTCCAGAGAGGATTATACCTTTCCTTTCTTTTTCTTTCTTAAATAGAGAGAACAGCAATCAATGCCCCATTTCTTTCCTCCCTCTCCACACTCCACTTTTCCATTAGCAAATGTTTCCACCATCACTGCCTCATCTGTCTTTTTGCTTTTCAAGCTATTTCCCAAATGCTGTTTTTGTCTCCCTTGCTGCTTTGTACACAAGGATGAATCCCTGCAACTTGCATGGTTGCAGGAAACACCCTAGGTGCTGTAACATCCCACAAGGTTACTTCCRCTAGCTTTACCTGAAGTGCTCAGAAGGAAGTGTATGCACACAATGTTTAAAGACACACAAAAATACTGTGTATGAAGACAAGGRAAGTCAGGGCAAAAAGCAGAATGAAGGCATTACTGGAAAAATACCTGGATGGGGAAGGAGTCTAAAGTCATAACCCCTCGATCCGATTCACCTTGGCACATCCAAAACCTGTATCAGGATCTAGAGCTCAATTTTGCAAACCTTGCACAACTGTCACAAGCCTTGCCCCCAGGTATTTTGTTTGCTGTTGTCCTGGARTCGCATGCCAGGTCAACCTTCCAAGCTGGGCAATAACAACCGAGTCAAAACCACAGACAACTTCAAGCCACATGACCTCAACTTTATCCTCCAGATGGCATTTGGCCAYAGAGGGGATCTAATCTGGGTACTTGACATCTTGTGACAGCTAAGACGGTCCAAGCTCACCATCATATGTGTAACACCACCACCTTCAAAAGAGCAAATGAAGAAAGAAGATCTCTCTGCAAACACATTTTAAATCTCCGTGACTTTGGCACTGCATTGTATTTCCCAACACAATGTCAAAGTAGCAGGAGTCCTGTGTAGAGTTTGCWGAGCAAAAAGCGTATGTACCATATGTTTCCTACTATACCTCTTCTGATGGGATAAATAACAAATAGAAAAAATTGTCTAAACTTATTTTGAAAACTGCATGGCCAGCTTATGCAGTAGCTAGATATGTGGCAAGGTTACAGTRTTACTCTCTAAGGAGAATACAATTAATATGCGTATATATTTTGTTCCATTCAAGCACTGTGTAGTCTCCAAGTTCTGCTATGAGAAGTATGGATAACTTCTCATTATCCTTCCTATTGCAAAACACAGTATTTATCACAGAAGTGTACAATACAGCAGCATAGCTTAGGCCTGTTATATAGGTCAGTATCTGCAATGCACATCAGAACATAGTTTGCCACTGCAGAGGAGAGTGGCTGCAAAACCTATTTTGGATAATCCAATTTATATTTGAGGAAATCAATGTGTGGTTATTTCTAGAACTGTGAATATAAGGCAACTGCTGCATGCTTGTATATTTGATAAGTTTTATTATATTCTATCCTTATATGAATGCCTATGCAGTGTAAATGCTTTACTATAAGATACTGAATGTTTTTTTTACACATTATTTTCTAAATGATRGCACATTTTACTGCATGTTTATTCATTTCTTGTGTTGGTACAAAGTGCAAGCAGGAAGACACCTGATTTTAATAATTTGCATTGCAGTACTCAGATCCATTATAAAAACATGTTCTTATGTAAACACTTAAAAATTTGGGAAGAAATGTGCATCCTTKAGACAATGGGCTTGGTTCACAGGAATACCTGTGTACTTAACRTTTATATGCTAAAAAAAAATTCATCCCCGAATCTGTAAATGGAGCTATTGACTGTGCTGCAAACCACTATGTCAGTATGCCTTGGTACCTTTGAAAATGTAAATCTACAATTACTAGGAAAACAGATGACTTGTCCTGATGCAAGCTGGAAAACAGATCTGTAATTGAAAAAGCCCAATCCTGAGCAGCCATTGTGTTTGGTGCTGCAGGATGGCAATGTAGCAATCTTTTTTTCTTTAAATAATACTTTCTTATGAYGTTAGTACAATGAGTTCATGTTACTTGATTGTGAACTGGGCCCACTGTTTACAGTATTACTATACATTACCAAAGTTCAATGCAATTAACAAAATTTATCAAATTAATTTTTTTTGGAAGAAAAAAGAAAAGAGACTGATTTTGCTGAGGTTTTGGAGAGATGGCTTGGTATGGAGTGTTGCTTCTATACCAATGCATTTTAAACATAACGTAATCACTGGCTGAAAACTGATGGTTTAGACAGCATTGTCAGTACTAATGTACTCCTGAAAAATAAGCTASCAATGATATAACATAAATCAAAGTAGTAGTGCGTTAAAGATATGTAAATATTGATTTTAATGCTGCAGCATCATAGCTATCATTTYTCACTGCTTTGATATCCAAGGATTCCTAATACTACACAAATGTATTTTATCTGTTCCATTTTTTAGTTTCRGTACTTTCATTCAAAGCAAAGTAACTCCCATTTCTTTGTACTGCACTGAAATAAAGAATCTTGTTTAAGAACATAATGCTTTTCATATTCTTTCTGGTCTGTTTGKTTCTGTGAGCACCAAATCCCAGATACCAGCCCATAGTGTCCAGCTCCCAGTACCCTGGCTCCCAGCCTTCYGTACATAAACATCCCAAAGGCACACCAGGCAACACAGAGAGACCACCTGGTGCCTCCATCCAGGGCTCTGTGGAGTCTGAGCAGCACTGGCACTGGTGSCAGACCACTGGGATTTCTGCAACGTGATCCTTTTTTCTAGTAGATTCACATTAAAATTCTAGTTGGAATCTGTGAAAGCAGACACTACCCTGGATTTCTCATTTCTCAGGAGACTGCCAGAGTCATTGTGATTTTCTGTTGCCAGGACTGCTGCCACATTCTGTTAAGACTACAGGAGTCCTAACCAAATGAACATAAATCCCCCTCTGAYTTCCATCTAAAAAGCTTCTAGCTAGGTCTACTTCTAAGTGCTTTGCTCTGTGGAGACTCATGTTCCAAGTAGTTTGGAAATGAGAACAATTGGGGGCTGACAGAAAATGGGAGGAAGCTGAATTCCCCAAAATAAGCACGGGCCTCAGTAGCATGTGCTTTTGCAAGAGCTGTTTTMTGTTGCACCAGGAAGGCAGCTTTTGACTGCACAGGTCCCCRTGAGGTGAGCAATAGCTGCTGCACTGTGACCCCCAGTGTTTCAAATTCAACACCTAAATCGATTTCAGCTGCAGCAGGAGTGATGAGGGCAGAACAAGGAGAAAGAATTAATTCCCATGAAGAGAAGCTTTACCTTAATTCCCAGACTATCTATGTGCCCATTTTTTTCTGATACTATCAGAGCACCTCGCTTTCACATTTCACATGCTTTTTGTAAGATAATTATTTTGCTTGATTATTTTTTTTAGTGCCCATTTTCACAAAAAAATAAGTACATGCTTAACAAAAACCTTCTATTAGGAACTCAATATTCTTTTCATATACATGTTTTACAACAACCATATGAAGCAGGAAACAAAATATTACCCCTGTTACAGACAATTAGCAATTCTAATTGCTTAGCAATTTTAATTGTTACTGTGAACTGTATCACTACAGTTGGGTTGCAAAATACACAAAATTTAAATTCAGCTACTGACATCTATTTTCATGTTAAATTTCCTTTCCAAATATGCATTTTTTTATAGAAATATGTATGGAAATGTTTGGATACATTTCATAAAATAATTTCAGTCCTGGTAGCTAAAAAGAATTTGGCTGCAGTATCACAGCTACAGTGCAGGCCACTGGCCTGATATACAGAAAAGGAAAGGATTTTATCCTATTGTCTGCCTTTGATCACATCCAACAGGATTTGTGCTCCTGTGGAATGAGATGATGATGGTGATATGGATGGGTCCCCTCTGCATTCAGAATCATATGCTYCAGAATATAATGAAAAACTGCCTTCTATGAGACTGCTTGAACAGGTCACCTTTCCAGTAAAGAAGATGATGCTTCCTTACAATATTGTGATGTTTTTAACAGGATACATCCTTTTTCAGACTAGATCTCCACCTCCAAGGCAGCATATACCTTTTATCCATTCCCATCATCTGACATCTTCAAGAATTTTGAAGTTCCCTACAAAAAGGGAGCCCTTTCCTAACCCCTGACTAATTTTTGAATACCAATACTTATTTCTCACTGAGTGCCACATGTATTCAAACAATGCTGCACTGAAAGAGCCCAGCAAATTACAGCATCTGTACCCCAACAAAAACAACAGTAAATCAGCTGTGGGATGCTCTTGGACTTGGCTAACACCTKTGGTGCCAGGTAACAAAACAAAAAAATARAAAAGCTGKKTTYTTTTACAYACWGRTTTCTTAACAGGTTTAACCCCAAMCAGCAGCCAAGCCCCACTCAGCCACTCACTGTCGCAGAAGGGAAGACTCGGACCACTCAATATGAGTTATAAGCGAACTTCRATTTATTGCAAACAATGTCTAAGCTTTATAGCACACATAATTAGCTCATRCATATTCYRTARTACATATATTTCATAGGTCCWYGTCCTAAAYGTCAACTCCACCTTTA